CGAAGCTGTCTCTGGTAGTAGCTCATGGAAAAGCAGGATTTCTCCTCGACGGGAAGAGCTCGGCAAGTGCATTTAGAGTGACAGGCTTAGGAAGGAGCCGCTGCCACCGACTGAGCAGCGTAGGGACATCCCAGGGACAGAGGGGCAGGTGGTTCTCCCACAGCCCTTGCTCAGGCAGCCTCCGGTGCCCGGGCGGACCAGCAGTTTGAGGAAAGGCTGCAGGATCACTCCCCTGGAAAATAAGAGCATTTTAATGTGGAAGTGAATCTGACGGATAGTATAAGGTGCCTGGTACAGTTGGTCCTTTTACTGATGATACAGCTGATATAAATATGGTGCATGTTGTCTTGGCCTGTGAACCTGCGACAGAGTTACAAGAAGCAATAGCAAATAGCTTTTCATCCTTTACTTATTTCCACATCACTAGGAAGGATTATACCTAAAGGCCAATAGTATAGAGAGGAGACGTTTCATTGTAATTACACATTTAGGCCAACATGTGTGGTTGGCTTGCCTAGTTAGCATTAAAAAAAGAAATAATTGAGCTATATATAATACACATCAGTCAAACTGTCAAGCTGCTGAATTTAACAAAACTTAGGCAAGGTTTTGTATTTTTTTTCTTTTTTTCTTTTTTTTTTTCTTTTTAATGTAGAGGCTTTCAGTTTAACAACTAAATATTTTAATTGAGTAGACTGAATAAAATGAAGCTAAACCGTAATTCTAGTGCAGTGTAGCTCAACTGGGTATTCTAATATTACCAACAACTTTGATTTTTATTTTTTAATGTACTTAAGTGCTACCCATATAAAAGGAAAGTTTTCTAAATTAACCCTGCAATGGCATTTTCTTTTTCACGGTGAATGATGTCATTCAGGCACAGGGGATATGCTTATTTGGGTTTTTTAGCATAGTGGATACTCAGTTGGAACATTTTACTCGACAGCATATTTGAAAAAGGTTCCCTTGGGAGCCGTGATGAAGCAAAACCATTCAGCTATTACAACTGGAGGTTAGAAAAAATTATAGATCCAGTATTTAAACACTTTAAAAGTATATGTTTGTCTAAAATATAATAGAAAATCCTTTATATTTGTATTTTTTTCGTAACTTTTTTGGTTCTTAGACTATATAATCAAGTCAAGATTTACACTGTACATTAAAAATCTTCTTCTTTTAAATGCATTTGCATAAATGGAAAGCGAGCTGTTAAAGAAAAGAATACTGATCAAATGTTAGTTACCGTGATAAGAACTAATTCAGAAATGAATGATCCTCAGAATTTTGCTTTCCCTTCCAGGCAGGCCCTGCTCCTTACAATGCCTCATGCTTCAGTTGCTTCACTCTCCTTCTCACCCAGGGAAGAGCCACCCTTTTAAAACCCAAGACTCCTCTAAAAACCAAAGACACAGTCCTTGAGGAGGAGAACTTTGCTTCAGAACAAAGCGTGTTCAGGGCTAGGGGATTTGCCAGCAATACCATGAATTAGCTTTTGCCGTTAAAGGTGCAGCTCAAAATGTTTGGGCATTTATCACCAGCTTGGAGTCCCGTCCCTGGGTAAGCAGCAGGAGATTTTGCTGCTGACAGATTTGAGAGCAAAATCAGGCCCCAATATACAGCAAGACAGTGTAATGAACTGGCATCATCTCTGTCTGATTTTCCCATCAATCACCGGCACCACTTGGGGATGCAAATCAGTCGTGCTGAGGAGCAGGCCCAGAGTCCAAACAAAAACCTTAATTGTGGCAGAAGGCTCTATTCCAGACCTTCTTTGCAGGACTGAATTTTATCCAGAGTGCAGTGGGCTTTGCCATTCTTGCAGCGCTTTTTAGCGGCTGCGTGGCTTCAAAAAATTATTTAGTGTCCTAATGAGGCAATTCCTTACTTGTAGTAAACAGGCATTAAGTGCCATTAAAGTCAGTGAAGCTACACTGCTCTCTGCCAGCTCAGGATTGTTCTGTGGACGCTTAAAGGAATGCCTGTAGAGAACAGATCTTTCCCTGGGTATTAAAAACGGCATTTTTCCAACTGGTCAGGACCGTTAGGCTGATTTATTTCTCATTTATAGCCCGTGAAACCTGAGGCTGTTAGCTTTCGTTGCTAGAACAATGCAACCAGGGTAGGGAACAGAACTTTTCTGAATTATTATATACTACATGGATTTTTCTACCTTAATGACTGGCAGTTCACAAGAATTGCTGTGATTCTCAGGTGTTGCTCGCTATGCCTGTACCACGCCACAGAAGCTTACAGGGCTGCTAGCATCAACACAGCTGGCTCTCAATCCTGCTTCACCTGGGGCTGCACTGCTTTTGCCTTTTGCTGTTTATTAAAAACACTAAATCAGGAGTATTCCTACTTTTTAAAAGCCAAACGCTTGTCGCAGCCCAGCTGTGGGTGAAAAGCTCGTGAAAGCAGCAGCCGTGCCGACAGTTCTTAGGTGGGCTTGAAGTTTTTGCTTGTTCATCACCGTTCTTTGAGAAAAAAGAGAGGGAAGTGAGAAAGCCTTGGAATGAAAAAAAGCAGGAAAATAAAGCTGGGGGCTGAAAAGGGTTTGGGGAGGGAAAAGGAAGGTGTAAGATTAAGTGGAGGAGAAAAAATCCAGGGCAGCGGAGAGAGGAGAAGGGGGAAGGCTGGACAAAAGAGCATGTTATTTGGGCTTGATTTTGTCATGATAGCCACATCCTATATAACCGATCTGAAAGAGGCTCTCAATGCAAGATGGGGTCTGCTGATAGCACAACGCTAACTCATTTTTTATTATGCTGTCAGCAGATGCCCTCTCTCTATATTTATAGCCTAATTACTCCTAGTTACCTACGTATGACTCTGTTTTATACTCTTCATGCCTCACGTTGGCTAACAAGCTGCAGTTTAACACAACTCCATATTTCTGAGGCTTCAGGCTAGACTGGTGAGAAGGAAACATGACTATGTACAGAAACAGGTTTATAAACAAGTAACTGGTACCAAAAAAACTAGAGAAAGCACCAAAGCATTTCTCAAGCTGAAAGCATATTAATTGCATAACTCCCTTTTATGTAACTAAGTATAAAAGACATTTTAATAACTATAAAAACGAAAGCCAGAGTCTTTCAAGAACTGAGGAATCTTCCAGACTTGAGTTACGGTTGCAAATGTCCTTCGCACAGAGGACGCTTTGATATGCTACCACACTCCCCTAGCAGTTTGTGATCAACCACTTTTAAAGGATGGGGTTGATGTCTGTTCTGTGACTGGTGAGTTGAGTGAGAGTGGAGCTTCCCACGACGTCGCTGACAGAGGAGGAGGTCGTGATGGTGTTGTGCTGGATGACTTGCTGCTGGGAGCAAGCTGGGACCGGGCTTGCGGGAGGACTGCTCTCAGGACCTGGGAAGGGGGTGAGGGCACAGAGACAACATGCATTCATTTTTCCATCCAAGTAACCAGCCCAGGCTGGGTGAGACTCCTGGAAAAGGGATGTACTACTACAGCAGCAATACTAATAACCTAAGGCATGCACAAGCCTCAGGATTTCAAAATACACAGCTACTCAACACTGTGTTCTGATCTTTTGCAGTTTTTGTGGTTTTTTTTCTAAGACAGCTTCTCTGATATCAGGAGTTGGGACCCTGAAAAACGTCCAAGACATTAATGACTATGAAACCAGTGTTGAGATAAAAAGTCCGATATTTTAAGGTCTATAAAATCACGGGATTACTTAAATGCTTTATTCACTCCAGCATCAAAATAAAAAATCAGAGTGTAGTGCACTGAAGCACAGAAAATCTAATTCAAGCAGCAGTTGATAGCCATATAACTCAATTATGTATTTTTTTCTCTGAGTACTGTTAAAGAGCCAGATGCATACTGATGCAGACAAGACAGAAACGGGCTCTATTTTAAGAAAATGCTGCAATCAGGCAAATATTAACCCTGAGGATTTTCCGAGCTGTTCTAGAGCCAAGCAAAAAATTTGTTCCTAAATTACCATATTTGTAAAATGCACCAACTAGACAGAATCAATACAACGTCTCAGTTAGATGAGATTTAAAAAAAAAAAAAAAGAGTTAGAAAAGAGTTAACAAACCTTGAAAACCTGTGCCACGCCTATTCTGCGCCACAGAGCACAGTACCGTTTTCGCTGGAGGGGACTGTAATGTTTTCCTTTTTAACTTCCCTTGTGAGAGCTATTTTAAGGTGCTGGCAGCGCTGTGCCCAGGAGGACTCTCGCAGGTTTGGAGCTGTGAGTTCAAGCAGGATCCTCCACAGGGGAGCGAGCATCCATCCGTGTGCATCTCCTTGTGGAAGGGAGGGGTGGGGAAGGCTAGCTCTGCTGTGTGGGATGCAAACCAGGGCTTTTTGGATTTTGAGCAGGGCTGGATAAATAAGGGCAGGAGATTGGATGGCTCGGATGATGTTTGAGAAGACAGGTTCAAGTGATAATCTGACCAAGAAGGGGTTCTGGAGGGAAGAACTGGAAACTTTGCTTTTCTGTGAGGAGTGTGGAGACAGCGCAAACATACCAGCTACTTACTTAGATATCCTTGTGATTCTTTCTGCATAGCTGTTATCGGACAGTCTTTATGTGTTAACAATAATTGTTTCAGCTGTGCTACCTCATTTTTCAGCATGGAAACCTCATTCTGGAAAAGAAAGAGAGGGTTTGGTTGAAGCTTACACCAGGCTCTTCTGCAAAGTTTAAACCCAAGTTGATCCACAGCTTTGGAAGAACTGAGCATAAATGGCACTTGGTGCTTATGTGCTGGGTTTATCTTAACATTTGTCCGTGACGTGATCTTAGGACTTCTTCTGAAGGCAATTTGTCTTCCAAATTTGGTGACATAAACTAACAAATGGATTAACTTCACAGCACCAGAGATAACTGAGGCAATGCTTTAATTCACTTGGGAAATTCTCTGTCTCTCTGTATCAGGACTCGGGGGGGCAGCCTGCAGGGACAAACAGTAGCTTACCATGCTCAAGGCCATGGTGGCAGGGCTGCTATCACCTACAGCACGTCACCTGCAGCTCTGCTACAGCCAGTGCCCGGGTGCTGCTCACATCTCTGTTTTGGGGGAGCATGTTTTGGGGCAGTGCCATTACACAAATGGTCCTTCTGCTCTTGTCATCACATATGCACACCTGTGGATGGGGCAGAAGTACTGTGCCCACCATAAGAAGCACGGTAAGAAAGGCTTTTAATATCTTATTCAGGGTATTTTCATCTGTCCATTTCATTTTCCTTACTGGTAGACCGATCTATTTACGCTCCTATCTCACTGGCTTTGAATGAGGGTTCAGTTACATGCCCTGCTCTGAAGAAGTCTTCTACAGCCGAGTTAATGGCACTTCCAAGAAAAATCCCCACAAAAAGCAGTGACAAGAAAACCAAATAAATACAACTCCAACTAGCAAAGGCTTCTAAATCCCAAGACAGCTTTTTCCTGGCTTATCCTGCTTAAACTGTAATGACTTCTTTAACTGAAGCACACCCATCTTGATTAATCGACTTTGATTATGCCTGTGCTCGCACCAGGAGCTGTCCTGGGGGCGGCAAGGGCCCTGCAGCCCTGCCAGCCCCTCTGAGCACAAAGAGCCCCTCTGTGTCCTCGGGGGCGCAGACAGTGGCTCACACCTGAAGCTGCATGTTTGTCTGGGTGAGCTCTTCTGCTTTCTTTTCCAGTGACATCACCCAGACCTTCCTCTTCTGTCTGCAGCGTGTGGCGGCGGCTCGGTTCCTTTCCAGAAATTTCCGCCTCCTCTCATCCGGGTCCTCGTCCACCACCCTCCTCCGGCGACCTCCGGTCGGCTGCGGCGCCTGTATCGTCTGCGTGGGCTGCATCTGCTGGGCCGCCGGTGAAACCTGGGGGCAAGAAGAGTTTTGGCACTGGGTGGTGAGGGGGGAAGGCTCCAGAGGGGCATGATGCTGAAACAGGAAGGAAATCTCACACGCTTGTCCTGCCCTCGGCGAGGTCTGCAACAGGCACAAGTGGAAAGGCTGTGCCAGATGCCACTGAAATTAGCTGCTGGCAAATCCTTACCATGGTCCAAGGGGAGATTTTTTTGAAAAAAATCCTCATAATATTAGTAAGGAAAATATTTCTCCCCTTACAGTTAGTTATTAAAAACATTCACTTAGGTACTTTCTCTGCCACCACCTATTTCAAACCTGAAATGTCAAGTTTCTCTCAGCAACTGTGTTAGTCAAAGCAGAGGACTGTAGTGGCCTTATTTCTGTCTCCCTTTTTTTTTTCCAATTGCCTCCAAAATTTTAGGACGTTTCTATTTCACAGGCTCCCCAATCTCTGTCTAATGCTTTACCACCTCTCGAGACAGGAGCTGCAACACTCTTTGCACCTGAGAAGATGCAGGCTGGGATTGTGCAAGGCCAGCAGACCTCGATGCTCCTCAGCTGGGGGCAAATGAAAGGACTTGGGTACCTGATCTCAAACTTCCATTTTGGTATCCCTGCACTGCCTGGAGAATGACATCAGGGAGGCATTTCCATTTGACCTCCATGGATTCTATACTCCTTTTTATTCAGCAGCCTGGCTTTGACAGTACAGATGCAACACTACCAGCCCCAGTGCTACAAACCTATGGAAAAATATGTATTTATGCTTTAAGTGCAGCAGAGTATTGATCCTACTCCTGAGAGTAACTGGCCCATGCCACTGCAGAAAAGGCGTGTGGCGGGGGCAGCCCCACGCAGTCTGTGTTCCCACCCCGGGGTGTATACAACAGATGCCCATGTGCCTGTTGGGAACCAGCATCAGACTTAACATTCAGCTGCCTGGGAATAGCCAGCTGACAGCTGGACAGCTTTCCTGCCTTGCCATGGCACCCAGGCCACGGAGCTCTGAACTTGTGTTCAGGGCTTGGGACGCCGACCCACGGGCCCCACTGCCCAGCTGGAGTCGCTGCTCTCATTGCTGCCGCAGCTCCAGCACAGTCTGGAACAGTCTGGAAACCTGAATTGTTGATTCAAAATTAACCCTCTTGTTCTGGCAAATGTCCAAACCTCCAAGGTGCTTCCTTTTGACTCCAGGGAGTGGACGTACTCAGCGCTTTGTCAGACTGAGCCCTGAATTTCAATTGTGGCAATTAACCTGTGTTTGCCTAACACCTCTGTCTGTCTCAATTAAAATGATACTATCGTCTTGCGAGGTCGCTTTTCTGTCTAGAATCTCACCACAAACTGCAAAGAAGAGTTTGCTCCCTCCCCCAGCTGCTTGTGTCAATTAAAGTGGCAATTTTAAGTGTAATTATTCTGTGATCTGATAATGCATTTTGCATAATGCCAAATTTATTCCCAGCTTTATGTTGCACAGTCAGGGAATCTCTCTCGCAGGAGCAGAAAATGGTTTTAAAAAAATAAGCTTCTTAAAATAAATACGCCACCCCACACTTTCAGACTGATTTTTAAAATTTCAGCTTGTATCAACTTGGTATGTTTGATGGTAAAATCTCGAACCCTCTGCCCACACCAGGGGCTGAAGTCCCAGGGCTGTGGTAGCTGCAGTGGCTGCAGCCACCGGCACCACGCAGGTCTGCTGACCAGCACCACGCAGGACCACTGACCAGCACCACGCAGGACCACTGACCAGCACCACGCAAGAGCACCGACCAGCTCCACACCAGACCACTGGCCACAGCTCCCATCCCTGCCACTATCCCCAGGCTCCTGCCAGGAGACCGCTGCTGAGGGATGCCAGCAGCACCCATCCACTGGGGCCGGGCACACCAACCCCTTTAGCAATACGTCTGAGTGCAGAAGCCTCAGACATCCCTTTTAATGTCATCAAAGGCCTTCCATTGTCTCACACACACACACACACCAACTTTCCAGACTTCAGAGATCTCTATGTTTCCAGACACCAAAAGCTTTCCCATTTCTCTCCTTCTTAATTCAGCTTTAAAAATTCTTTTTTCTTAATCTCTCAGTGGGGTCTGCAACACAGAGAGAAGGTAACAATACAGGTCTGTTTCCCCCCCCATCATATGGTCATTTTCTCCTGAAAAACTAGTGAGTCATTTTGTTTTCAGAGTGCACCATTCTGTCTTTGTTCAGTTAGTTCACATTTTTCGGAACAACAAAATTTTCTTTCCATCTCTGGTAGGTACTAATTATAAAGGTTCCCATTATGTCACTAATAATGTCACGTGGGATAATTAAATGAATTTTACTAGATAGCTCTTAACTCTGAAGTCTGTTGGGCTACATCTTAGCAACTGTCTCAGCGTCATTCTCTAGAAGGACTTTGATACCCTGCCTGGGGACATCAGAAAGAAAATGAATGTATATTAAAACTGAGGTTAATGTTTCTTTTAAGAGGATCCTAATCAGGTATCCATAATGAAGACAAACACAGGACAGTTAAGAGAGTGAAACAACATCCAACGCCCTACTTTGCTCATCTACAACTTGATAAAATACCTCACTTTCTCAGACAGATACCTATCAGAAGGCAGTTTCTACTTTTATTCTTGGTCCATTATTTCTCCCCATTCTTTGCAACTTATGACAAAACTAACAGCCGTTCACTTACTCTATGAAAGCATAATTCATTGGACTCCTGTGTATCAAAGTTGTAGCTGGAAAGCATGAAATGAATTCTGCCATTACAAAAGGGTGTGATGTAGAATATAACAACAGTCTCAGCATGGGAGCTCAAGGCTTACAGTAGTGTGGACCATGCTGTCATTTGGCAGGTGGCTTGGAATGGAATAATCTGGCTTAGAAGAATAAGATGGTTAATAACTAGTAAAACGCACCATAAAATTAACATGTGCTGGAACAATCTGACCCCCAACGAGGCCACTACCATGGTGACAATGGATAAGTTCAGAAAGTAATAACCATGTAGATATTACTCAGCAAACCCTTCCTTTCTACTCAGTAACGGATCTCTTCAGAAATCTCTATTGCCTTCACACCATGGGAGCAGACCCGCAGTAAGATCCCTGATGCCTGAGGAAGCTGCTGACCCTACAATTCGTACTCCATCACTCTCCATTCCCATCCTCTTGGTGATACACCTATGGACCAGGTGAAGACCTCCAGCGACATGCTGTGCATGGCAAAGCTCGCCTGACTGCACAGATCCAGCTCCAGAGACTGTGTGGTGTTGGGACACATGGGGAATCTCACATAGCTTTGTGGATACCCATCAGCCCACCTACCCGTACCTCTTCTTGCCCACCTGGGAGTCTTTTGGGGTGCACAGCTAACAGGGAATACAAAGCACAAGAAGTCTAGGCTGTCCTAACTGGAATGAGAGTAAGAAAGACACAGACCTGCTCAAGCAGGTCTAGAGGAAGACCACTGGCTTATTGATCTTATCCTTAACATTGGTAGGTTTGTTATCTCTGGTAGCATTTTTCTTCTCATCTGTTGAAAGTGGTAATACAGATCTTTTGCAGCAGTGCTCCATCCCGTGGTATCTGACTACTTCTCCTGCATTAACACGTTTAACCTCCCAAGCCCTTGGTGAGGTGTCAGTACTATGACCCTTGTTTTGAAAGCCTCACAGAGGTTAAGTGACTTCCTCCATCTCATCCATGGAGTCCTCAGCCTGCTAAGCACAACTTGATCCTTACTTTCTCAAGGATCTCCAAGACAGCCATCAGGTTACTTCTGATTTCTCTGTTATGAGATAATGTCTTTGTATTGGAGTTTTTAAACAACTCCAAGGAAAATAACTCATTAACAGATGGAAAAGTAATTGAATTCTCAAAGTAAAACCTGAACCAAACTTAGGAAAGTGCTGGACATTTTCTCACAGGGGAGTCTGCTGTGCTTTTATTTAGACTGTTTCTCTAAAGCTGACAATTCATTTTACATTAGCAAATGCTTTAGGGAAATCCCATGTGCTTACAGCCTCTGCAATAATAAAGCTAGATGTTAGTAAATAGTTAATGTTGTGGGACACTGGGATGTCAGCCAAATCCTCTCATTTTCTTTAATGTTTTCTAAGAGCTTGTCTGAAAGGTATTTGCAAGCAACACAATACTTCACAGATTGAACTTCTTATGGCTGGCTCTCCTCTTTGTTCTCACTCTACACACTGCCCGCTTGTCCTCCCCAGATTTGCTCCCCAGACCTGACATGTTACAGTCACGGCCCTCAGAGCTTTGTTTTTCTTGTGCAGTCCTGATGCACAAGCCTATCATCTTAAGACATTAAGAGAATTCCTCTTAAAAATTACTTGTCAAAGTTCACGATTGCTAGTTCATTAGTTCAAGAAACATTCAGTTCACATATTGAATCATCCAGATTGCTGAAGCAAATATAACCGGTCCAAAAATTGAGACCTCCATTTCATTCAGTGGAGACCTTCACTGAGTTCTCATCATCTGAATCCAATTCAAAGTTGCCTTCCTGGTTTAAATCTCTTTCCTTGGACTGGCTTAATCTTTTTCTTCTGTCACAACATCCACCAGCTATTGCACTCTCAGCTAATCTTGGCTTTCTCTCATACTCTGCAGATGGGGGTGCTATGCCCTTTACAGGGTCTGGATCCTTTCTCCTTTTCCCCTAAGCCAGTGTATCCTACCTTAGAACTACACCCCTCCACCCACCCATTCCCCAACTATTTTACTCCACCAGAGATTGTGCCATGTGTTTCTGCAGGTTGAACACATACAGCTCTTTAAATCTCGGCCTGAGAAGTTCAGGTTCAAGCAAATTAAGCAATATATGTAGTATGCTAATCTCCATAATAAACCTCATCCATAAAAGGCGATGTGGCAAGTTGCAGAGCTCACAGCCGTGAAAAACCTTCGCGCTCCTTATAAAGTAAGAGAATACAAATGTCTAGCAAATTAAGCAGCAAAACAAGTTGTTGCTTCACTCCATTTTCTGAATAAAGCTTGCGCTTCCCCACCACCAGCAGCAGACATTTACAAGTAGCCTGAGGGGCTTGTACCTAACAAGACTTGCGTGCAAGAAGAAACAATAGAGGGATCAGGCTTCAACCCCACTTAAGAGCAAAACTCGGCGCCGCAGCACGGTGTGAAGGTCTACCTGTGCTTGTCCGCCCGAGTGCAGCGGGGGGTGCGGCGAGGTCTGGTGATGTGCCGGGTGTGCGTGCAGGTGTGAGTGAGAGTGGTGGTGAGGGTGATTCTGCTGGTGATGAGGCTGAGGATGAGGATGGTGCGCCGGATGCTGGTGCTGATGCGGATAGGAGTGATGAGGCGGCAGCGTCTGGTGCTGATGAGGATGTGTGTGCATATGGTGGTGTGGTGTCTGGTCCTGCCGTGAGCTCATCATTTCCATCATGTGGCCCATGGTGTTCATATTCCCGTTCGACATGGCGGCAGGATGGTGAGTCAGCGCTGCCTTCAGCCTCTGCAACAGAACAAGGCAGAAAATTCAACATTCAGGCATGATGAGCTGAGCAATCAGAATAAGATGTCTGCTGTTGAAGAAACTGTGCCTGGTCCCGTGGACTGAGGTTTATTTACATTTTTCCTTGCTGTTCCCTTGGTAAAAGGCATCTTACTTAAGTTTGAAAAAGAACATATTCTTGGGCTCTAATCTAGTTTTGAACTGTAAATACGTAAAGAGTTTTCCACTGTAAATATGTAAATACATAAGCACCTGAACTGAAACTTAACAGTTACACATTTCTTCCTGTGCTGTTGAAGAAAAATAACTGGCTCTCATCCTTTCCTTTTTGGCCAGTTCAGCAGCCTTATCTTTATCTAGCTTGTATTTTTGCAACTTTGAAGCAGGAAAGCCTGTTTAAAATAAAGGTGAAACATAGTTGCCCTCTTGCTTTTAATATATAGCTACAGCTATTATTCAAAAGACACATTGATAAATATGCTTAATTTATATTTCTTTCAAATTCAGGCTCAAATATATTCTAGAGTTATACTAGCATACAACTTGTTCTTTCATCAGAAAGACAGGAAAATAATGGGGGTGGTCTCAAGCTGATCCTCTTTCTTTGCTGGAAAATTTAAAAATCTGCTGTGCTGTTCTCTTATGCTAACTCCTCTGTTTTGTACTCCTCATATTTTGTACTGTCACTGGATTGGGCCCTGGAGTCCTGAGCAGGGCAAAACTCTCATTAATATCAATGAGCTTCATTTGCTTTTACCTGAAGACCACCAAAGGCCTTCCACATTTTGGACTGCAGGCTAGGGCCCTTGTGTACTAAGGCTACATCTGAAATACAGGAAAAAAAGAGTTCCCCTTCAATGGAATTACAGGGTCATTCCAAAGCAGTGATGGCACCTCACTGGTGTCATCCTACCCTGGGACTCCTGAAATCACTGGCTTCCTAGAAGAGTGTGCCAAAGGTAGAGCCTGACAGATGTCAGCTAGGAGAAGGGATCCTTCCAGACCCATAGAAACCCCTTTCGCATCCATGGTTCTGTGTCTTGCTCAACACAGAATACTCTTTACAGGCAACCACACAAAAACTTTTTACCTCTTAGCATTTTTGAAGAAGACAATGTAAGTTTACCTTACTCTCATAAATGCAAGTAATTAGTCAGCAGAAAATAAATAGTAAGACAAAAATGGAAGGAAGGACATCCATGGTGTCACTTGATGCCAGACTAGAATCTGAATAACCCATCACCTATCTCATAATTCATTATCTAGCCATAGGACATAATGAATAGCTCAGCAGTAAGAAATGCCTCCTATAGGACAGTAAGCAAGAAAAAGCAGTGACAGGAGGAAGAGAGGTGTGCCCTTCCTCATAACAATATCTGTGGTTCACAGATGACTGCCAGAAGATCCCACAAGGCAACGTGGCTAAAATCTGCCAGTGGACGAGCAATGGCTAGACTGAACTGAATTTTGGGTTTGGCTTTAAAGCAAAGAGTGTGACCGTCAGGATGCTCAGAACCTATAGATGGGGATTTCAGTCACTTTATATGGAAATAACATCTGCCTGTGCAGCTCCTCTGCAAGGCCAGAGATAAGGGCTCTTGTATTTAAAGCCACTACTATATTGCGTTTGTGCACCTGAGGGACAGGAAGAAAGAAATTCTTAAGGAGAAAAAAAAAAAATAAAGAGAAAAAAAAAGAATGTGGTGGAAGGCAAAAAGAAGTTAGAGGGTCAATTAAAAGTGTCATCCTCAAATTTTTGTATCCCACATGTTTTTGCAGACTTCATGAAGGTCATTCATCTTCGACATGCTAACAGATCCATTAATCCAAATTTGGTGGCTTATTGCACTAACCATCAAGTGGCGGAACAAGACTTTAAAATAAAAAAAAAAAACAAAACAAAGACACATTTGAAAAACCCATCAGTGCCTCAGTTTGTGTGAAGGAAAACTAGGCTGATGACTTTTTAAGAAGTTTCCTTAAGAAAGCCTATCAAACTGTGATCTTTTCAGAGAGGTAGAGGCAACTATGGCAACTATACCTCCTTCCCTACCTCTAAAGTCAGAAGGGAGATCAGTCTAATGTCAACAGCAGTAACCCATCCTGGGTATAAAATGCAGGATTTGAGCAGGTGTCATCTTTCATGTTTCAAATTCAAGTGCTACTGTGGTTATTGCAAGCCACTCCTCACAATGCTCAGAATAACTAGTGTTACTTTCCTAGTGTATTAGGAAATATATGGAAAACAACAGATAAAAAAGTAAAGTCATTCTGCATGTCATTCTTCCTCAAAATTCACTACAACATTTTTCATGGGGCTGAGCCACTGTGCAGATCTAAACCAAAGCACCAATAAAAGCTGTTACAACTTTGTTTTCTGAATCAAGATTCCAAATAACCAAGCTCTCATTAGCCAGCAGCTTTATGTGATGAATACCTAGCAAAAATGTACCAATGCCAGATTTGTCAAAGACCTCCGAAACGCAACTACAGCATGTCTTATTCTAAACTGCAGACTTTCAAAGCCAAAAAAAAAGGAGGAAAAAACTTAATCTGCGAATAATATTTTTATTTCAGCTGTAAAAACTGTGCCTTATTAGTGTGGCGCAACTTCAAGGAGAATAATTTTTTTTTTTCTTTCCATAGCCCCTTGTAACACATCCATTCACTTGAGATAGCAAATAAGACAGACAGTGAGAAGTCTGACATGCAGCCGGTTTCAGTCAATAGGGGTCATTCCCATGTGGTCTGTGTACTTTACAAGCTCGTTGTTCACTGTTCCCAACGGGAGGGTGGGCCAGCTGCCCTGGATCCCAGTGCTGGTACGAAACCAGCTCTCTACCTCATCCTGTCCCAGCAGAGCAGCGACCACGGCCCAGCCCTCACCTCCCTTTAGCTCCTGCTTAGATCAGCTCTGCGGCAGCTCTGCCCACACACGCACCCAGGGGATCCTTTATCTCCCACTAACCAGCCACTGCTGCACATCGGTAATGTCTGGGGAATGAGAAACGTTTTTTTTGTTGCTTGGTCTTCAGCAAGATCAATCATTGTGGATGTTTTAGTTAGAGCACAGGGAGGGAAAATCACCAGAACTTGATGAACTCTGCACTGAGTGTGTGTGGAGCTGGAAGGGCAAGCTGCATTTTTGTTATTGTTCTTTTTATGAGTGCTAATTGCAAACAGCTGTTTTAGTTTAGTGTCAAATAAAATTCGATGGCATCAAAACTGAACTTACTGGGCTGACTACGTTAGCAAATCCCCTCTACAACGAGACGATAACCCAGGACCCGATCCTCTGGCCGTTCAGTTTTTCAGGAACTGTGACTGACTTCAGCAGAGCCCGCGGGTACCTGGCAGGTTGCAAACTGGGGCTGAAACAGAGGACTCACTACTCAGATCTGCTCTCACCAAACCCCCAAATTTCTGCTAACTTCAGTGTTAGTGCTTTTAGGTCACGATCCCTCTTCTCTCCCTTTTATAGTGCAATTTTCAAAAACATCCCCACCAACTTCAAGCCCAAAGGAAATGCAGGGGATCTTCTCACCTGGCTTTTGGCCTTTACTGATTTTTTAAATTATTTTATCCAAGTAGCATATAACCAACATCAGTTACAGATGATGTCCACCTGATCATGGCATTTCCACTAATGACTGTCAGTGACACAGACAACATGAGAAATCTTTCACAAAGAACAGCCTTCTTTGCCTCTGATTGAGTGAATAAATAATAATAAATAGTAATGCCCCTACCTGATATGTGCTCTGAAGCCACCCCACTGAATGTGATATGAAGTTAATATCTCAAAGAAATTATCATTTCACCTGGAGTATTGGGGGTTATTTCAAACACAATTTCCACAGTGCTTCCTTCATTTAAAGCCTGACATCATGGTGCAGTGAATTGCTTGATATTTCCTCTCGTCAACATAGATCATACTTTATTGGCTGAACATCTTTGGGCAAACCCTAAGTCTGCCAAAAATGGGCTACAAGCATTTGAGATCATGAATGAAAAATAATATCAGCTTCTATAATACTTCCGCAGTTCAGAATCTTGCTGCTTTTTAACCTTTCTCTATCATGACATGTATTTCAAGGTTGCTCTGGGTTTTGCCCCACCTTTCCTTCTCCAAAATTGCTAGTGAGAAACAGACAGCATTTTTTTCCTGTTTGTTAAAAGAAGAAAAAAAGATTAATAAAGCTGTACATTTGGAGTTTGCTTTTCTCCCAGCTAAGAACTCCAGTAATTTTGGGAGTTTCACATGTATCTAAATATTTCTAATGTTTATAGCATGTTATATTTATAATACCTCCGGCTATAAATATCATGTTATATGCCATAATATGTATATGACAACAAACTACAATTTTGTCTCATTTATTCCTCAGTGGAGAAATGACAAAAATCTCTTCAGACTTTACAAATGTTATGACCTAAGTGGTCTGTGCTTGCATCAAACTGTAAGCTATTCTATCATCCGGATGAAGTTTAGGTTGAAACAGACACAGAGGGCTGGTTTTGAACGGGATTGAATTGTTCTGAGTAAGTATGCATTGCTGCGCTCAGAAATAAACTCTCTTCCCTTTCTGGTCTGCATGCCTAAATCCAGCTAAATTAGAGAGGACACAAGACCAACTGTAGTATCAGTTTAGTGCCTGGTATATCCTAACCAGAAGATTGTATCAGACTCCTGTAGGCAGACGGAATATGATCTCAAAGATACTTTCTTGCCCTAGTGACTGTGATTCTAGTCCTTACTATACAGGGGTGTAGCAAGTTCCCCACACGGGACAGAAGAGACTAGAGAGGACTAGGAAATCAGAAAAAAAATACAGACATCAAGCATCTCCTCCACACATCTGCAATTAGGTAGCAGCCTTAGGGTAAAAATCTTGATTAGCCAAACTTCATGGCAACCATATCGTCGACTTCAGTGGCACTAATATTGTATTGTTATCTGCAGTGGTCAAATATTCTATTTTACTCACGCTCCTTTAAGC